CTGCGGGAACCCCAGCTGCTGCCCTCTGACATCTCACTGTGCCGACACAGAGGTGGTGAGAGAGGCAGCAGGTTGACCCTGGAGCGCCGACGGGAGCCGCTCGAGAAAAGGCCGTCTCGGATTTTGATGGCTGTTCAGGGCAAGGTTGTAAATTGTTCTCAAGCTTGGCTTGGACTGGTGACAGAATCTCAAGCCAGCAGCCACAAAGCAGTGTGACATCGGTGCTATAGATGTCTCTAGACCACATGAACTTTAATAAGTTGGTAGTTTTCTGCTCTTGAGATTATTCATGAAGGATGTACTCTACCAGATACCACAGTTAAGCTTTCTGTATCTCATCTGTGCCTCTTCAGATACTAGATAGGATACCACTGTACAGATGAGACATGGGCTCAGCCTGTCAGTGGCATTCCTACAGTTTTGATCAAAGTTATTTCTCAAAAAGCTCAAAATGTTTTGGACTAAGTCAAAGCCTAAAATGGTTTCGTGTGGGTAAAAGCAAGAGTGATGCTCCCTGGGGTTTCAGGATTGGGCCATCAGGACTCACCAGGCTGCCCTCAGCTGACCTATGACCCAGCCCTGTGGCCTTACCTGGAATGAGGACAACAAAACAATGTTTCCAAGCTTGTTCTCCAAACACCATTTTGTCCGGCTGCCTTTCTCTGTTCTGTCCCCTGCTTTTAACTGACCTACACGGAGCTGTTGAATAAGGACAAAAGAAGAATTGATGCCTTTGATCTGTGGTGTTGGAGAAGAGTATCCCATGAACTTCCAAAAGAACAAGCACGTCTTGAGAAAGGTACAGCCAGAGTGCTCTTTGGAGGTAAAGATGATAAAACACCATTTCATACACTGGACGTGTTGCTAGGAGAGGCTATTCTTGGGAAGGGAAACACTTAGAAAGGTGGAGGGTGGGTGAAAGGAAGACCAGGTGGACTGAAAGTGACTGCTGCAATGGGGTCAAATAATTAGGATGGCACAGAATAGATAGGACATGGTTCAGAGCTGTTGTTCACAGGGTCTCTGTGGGTCATACTTGACAGCCTCTAACATCTTGGGGCCAAGTCCAGTACTAAAAACAGCTGGACTCAACCTTCAGTAACATCTAGTGCCCAGGGTACAGGCTAGGCTCCAGGCCTTCCCCACCTAGTGAGGCCTGCCTGCCTCAATAAGTGGTACTGTTGAATGTTCTCAATCTTCACAACCACAAAGGAGTCATCACTGCCTCAGTACAAGAGGTTCAATTTGGTAAGGAATTTTTTGCCTCAGCCTCTGGTTCCCATGTTTATTAAATGCTTATCCGCTGTCCTTCATGCAAGCTGAGAGTAAACTTCAAGATCAGGGACTCAGAAAGCTCTCTGCTGCCAGAGCACCTCATCCTGAGAAGAAAGATGATAGAGGGGATTCCCTAGGGAGACACTTTGGCCTGAAGCCAGGGAAGGCTTTCCTACAGTTAAGGACCAGGCTATACTTACTGACCAGAAGAACTAACTGCAGAGCTGAAAGCCAGAGTTCTTCCCACAAGGACCTTCAGCACCAACACACTGGTCTACTTAGTGTCACTTAAGAGGTCCTGCAGTTACCTAGTAAGACTTCTGCCCTTGTGTTAAGTAGGGTAAACATTCCATCTCTGGGAAGCCACTCTTGATCACCCACCCAGCCTCTCTTAACACTCCCTCACGTTCTTCACCTTGACTCCACACTTCTACCAGAGCCTGTGCTGTGTGTGAGCTTTATGCTGGCTGCTTCGTTTAAATGTTGCACAAAAATCCATAACGGGAGTCAGTTCTAACTTCACATAAGATGTGATGAGATTCGTAAGAGATCATGCCATAAAAAAGTGTCATTCTACTAGTGTCTCCTCCTGAATTGTGTGATCTTAAGCAAATCACTTAACTCCCCAAATTTCCATAACATGAAACCAACATTACCCTTGAATTAAGACCAACTCATAGTTAGCCCTCCAGAAGAAGAGCTGCCCATCTTTCTCCCAGGGAGCAGATGGAAACCACCTCCCTTTGGGTTGGCAGTGCAACTCCTTACCACTAAGCTGCCACAGCTCCCTATAAATTATTAGTAAACAATGCATTAATTATCCATAGCAAATGATTTGTAATGGGTATAGCTTTCCAGGGCTTGTTCACCTTGGTTCTCAATCCTCTAGGTCACTACAAATTGAGAAAAGGAAGAAAAGACCAAAATGAATGTCTGGAAATTGCCCTAGAGTGACAAGAAGCCAAAACAAATGGAAGACATGCCAAAGGCAGAGATGAACAGTAGAATTCAAAGGGCCACCCAATAAGACAAAGCAAAATATAAAGGAATGTGCATAAGAGTTGGAGAATAAAAATGGAAGAACTTGCTTGGCATTTCTAAAGTTGAAAGAACTGAAAAATTTCAAGGCATGAGTTGCAACTATGAGGAACAGTAAGGGCAAAATTTTGAATGATCCAGGAAGCATCAAAAGGATAGAATACATAGAGTCACTATGCCAAAAAGAATTGGTTGGCACTGAAAATTTTCAGGAAGTACTAAATAAGAGTGAGTTTGTAATGAAGGAAGGAGATCTAGCTGCACTGAAAGCATTGGCAAAAGGAGGCACCAGGAACTGCATGGTTTAAAATCAGGTGTATGTCAGGGTTGCATCCTTTCTCCATATCTACTCTCTATCCTGAACAAATCATTCTAGAAGCTGGATTCTAAAGAAAAATATGGCATCAGGATCAGAGGAAAATTCCTCAACCTGCATTAGGCAGATAACATAACCTTGTTTGCTGAAAGTGAGGAAGACTTGAAGTACTTGCTGCAAAAGATCAAAACCTTCAGGGAGCTCTGGTGGCCTAGTGGCAAGAAGCTGCTCTGCAATCCCAGAGGTAGGCAGTTTGAATCCACCAGATGCTCTGCTGGAGAAAGATGGGCAATCTCCTCCTGTACCAGTCACATCTGATTTGATGGTACACACAAAAAAAATAATAAAATTTAAAAAAAATCAATAGATATGGCATCTTCAATAGAGATTGCATCTCAACAAGACAAAAATTCTTAACACTGCAAAAATTCTTAACACTGAACCAGTATGCAGCATCATGATAGATTAGAAAAGACTGAAATTGTCAACAATTTCATCTTACTTGGATTCACAATCAATATCCTTGATACTAGCAGTCTGGAGATCAGATGTATTGCATTAGGCAAGTCCACTGTCCAAGCAAGGATGTGAGTTTGAAGACTAAGGTGTAAGGTATGCCTGATTCAGGCCACAATCTTTCCAATCATTTTTTTATGCATCTGAGAGCCAAACAATGAATAAAGATGACAGAAGAAATGATGTCTTTGAGTTGTGCTGTTGGAGAAGAGTGCTGAATATCCCATGGACTGTCAAAAGAATAAACATTTTTGTCTGGGGGAAAGCGCAGCCAGAACGCACCCTGGAGGCAAAGATGGCCAAGCTTCATCTCATACTTTGGGCATGTTGTTAGGAGAAGCTTTCAACAAGATGGACTGACACGGTGCAGCAATGGGCTCAAGTATGTGAGATGTGAGGATGTCACAGGATAGGACAGGGTTCAGCTCTGTTCAGTGTCATTATGGATTCCACTGTACCTAATGACAACCTCCAGCCTGCTAAGAGGGTTTAACCAGTGTACACGTGCTATGCACTGATGAACACTGAACAAGGTACACAGGAGCTTAATAGTATCTGTGGTAACTTTACAGGGGGTTCGTGACATCTTTGATATGGTGCGGGGGGGGGGGGAGGTGAAATTGTGCACTGCGGACTAATGGGAAGGTGCAACTGTACTCTAATGTGCCTTGTTTATTGGGATGGTCCAAATAAGCAAGATATTCTTATTACATCTTGCCTTGTTGGGTACCTTGTTTATTAGATGGGTCTTGGATTACATTATAGTTAGTTATAAGAGAATTCCAAAAATGCCATCCCTCACACGTGGAGATACACAGTTTAAAAAGCAGAGTCTGGAGGGAGGGATGAAAATGTGCAACAATGAATAAATGCATTTTAAAAAAAGAGAAAAAGCACAGCCCGCGCCGCGCCCTAACCTGCCCTGCAGCCCGCAAACGATCCGCACGCAGCACGTGCGCCCCGCCCTCACCTGCCCTGCAGCCCTGCAAACCACCCGGGCGCAGCACGTGCGCACCCCCCTCGCCGCAGCCGAGCCCGCGGCCGCCCATCCCGTCCCGGCGTGCCGCGCGCCGGGCACGTGACCCCGCCCCCTGTCCCTGGGTGGGCGGGGCCGGGGCCGCGGCTCCTGAGCGAGGCTCGCTCAGCCTCAATTGACAGCGGGGCTGCCTGCGGAGCGGCTGGGAGGTTCGAACACTCCGCTGGGGGGTGGAGCCCGGGCGGGCTAAGGGGCGGGGGCTGTGGGCGCAGCGACTGCGCACGCGTGCGGTGCTGGCGCCGGGAGGGGGAGCGAGAGAGCATTAGGCGCGCGCGCGGGCGGGAGGGCGGCCTCGCGCCGCGTGGCGGCAGGTGTGCTGGGGGCACCTCCATCACGTGTCCGGAGAGGGTGGGCGCTCGGAACCTGGAAGGGGGCGGAGCCCTCCTGCAGGCCACACCTCCTCGGGGGGCCCAGCCAGCTGGTGGGGGCGTGGCCAGAGAGAATCCTACCCCTCGAGGCTCTAGCTGGAGGGGGGTCCCCAGAGAGTGCTGGATACCACTCAAATTAGGAGGGATTGGGGGCTCCACAGCCTCCTCCAGGATCGAAGCACCCAGGAGATTACTATGGCAATAAGAAGTGAGCTGGAGCTCATGGGGAAAAGAGACCGAGGAGATGGAGAGGTGCAGGACTCCTGGGGGGGAGCCCCATGTGCCAGCTGGGAACGATGGAGGTGAAGCAAGTGTGCGCAAAGGTTCTTAGTTCTAGACCTGTCTCAACCCCAGGTTCCTCTGTGGCCTCGGACGAGTTCCTGCCTCTCTCTGGGCCTCTTCATCTCCTGGGCAGTGGGTGATCCTGGCCTCCCCTCTGGTCTGCTGCAGGATGGGCCTCTGCGCCGCCGCCCTGCTCTGGGGTCCCCCAGGGCTGCTCCTGGCCCTCACCCTGCACCCAGGCCTCGCCCTGCGCCCGCACAGGGACTACTGCGTGCTGGGCGCGGGGCCCGCTGGCCTGCAGATGGCCTACTTCCTGCAGCAGGCAGGGCGTGACTACGTGGTCTTCGAGCACAGCGCGGGCCCGGGCAGCTTCTTCACACGCTTCCCTCGCCACCGCAAACTCATCAGCATCAACAAGAGGCACACGGGCAAGGTCAATGCCGAGTTCAACCTCCGACACGACTGGAACTCCCTGCTCAGCCACGACCGTCGCCTGCTCTTCAGACACTACTCCCGGGCCTACTTCCCTGATGCCAGCGACATGGTACGCTACCTGGGCGACTTTGCGCACAGGCTGGGCCTCCACGTGCTGTACAACACGACCATCGCCCATGTCACGCTGGACAAGGATGGGCAGGCCTGGAATGGCCACTACTTTGTCCTGACTGATGAGAAGGGCCAGACCTACCAGTGCAGGTAAGAAACCCAGCCCAGAAGTGACCTGCTGAATAGAGTCCTTTCCAGAGGGGCCTTGGTTGACCAGTAAAATGTGATAGCCTGGGGTGAGAAGACCCATTCCCGTTTCTTCCAGCCTTTGCTCCCCTGAAATTCAGTGCAGACAGATTCAACCGTTTCCGAGTTTGCACTTTAAAGAGTCTTGTGGTCAGATCCTCCAGGATTTGTCAGTCTTTAGTCTCTGCCAGAACTGGTGGCTGTTGGACCTCCTACAGAGAAAGATGTGCATTCCCTTCCCTTGTCATTTACAGCTTCAGAAACCCAAGCAAGGGTCAGCTATGCGTTAATTCTGATTCCCCGACAACGCACTTGAGGTTTCCTTAGCAAAACACTGCATCTTTTGAGTAAAGGATTCAGCTTCTCTTTGCTTCCACATCACAACCCTGTCTACAGGTAGAACATCTCTTGAAACTAGTATTTCTTAAAATATCGGTTTTGGGGAAATGCTAGTCTAATGTCCACACACCCAGTAGAGTTTCTGAACTGAAGCAATGATGAGTGATGACCCAATAGAAGGGGCTACCAGCATTCAGTGTGGCCTTGTTGCATTGGGAGACACCTTAATATTGGGGAAACAATACCTCTTATTTGTTGTACCAGACTTATTTAATCTTCACCAAGACCCTAGTAAGAAGTTCTACATGAAGAACAGGGACTCAGAGAGGTTGAGTAATGAGTAACTCCTGCTCTATCACACAGCTAGCCAGCTTCATCTTGTTTGGATCGGATCTATAGTTAACACAATTGGTACCAGCAGTCAGGAAATAAGGAGATGCATTGCACTGAGGAAAATCTGCCGTTAGGGACCTCTCCAAATTATTGAGGAGTAATGATGTCAGTTTGAGGACTAAGGTGCTTCTGATTCAGGCCATAGTCTTTCCGATTACTAGCTATGCATCTGAGAGCTGGACAGTGAATAAGGATGACAGGAAAAGAGTTGATGCCTTTGAGCTGTGGTGTTGGGGAAGAACACTGAACATCCTATGGACGGCCAAGAGAACAAACAGATATGTCTTGGAGAGGGTGCAGCCAGAGTGCTCATTGAAGACAAGAATAATGAGGCTTTGCTTCACATACTTTGTGCATGTTTCTGGGAAGGGCCATTCCTTGGAGAAGGACATGATGCTGGGAAGAGTGGAGGGTCGGCAAAGGAGAGGAAGACCCTTAACCAGGTGTATTGACACAGTGACTGCTGCAATGGGCTCTGTGTCAGGAAGTGTGAGCATGGCGCAGGATAGAACAGGGTTTAGATCTTTTATTCATGGGGCCACTATGAATTGTACACCTAACAATGGTCGGTTGATAGAGCTGCTATTTAGCTATCTGCCTGACTCAGGCATCAGTTTCTTCCCACTGCTCCACACTGCTTCTCCCACCCTGGTCACTAGCCTAGACCCTGGTTCCCCCCACAGGGGCACTTTCGGAGTTCACCTATTCATACTTGTCCCTGTGAGAGCCGGGGAGAGGGGGTGGAAGAAGGGCGATGTTGATTTGAGAGGCCAGGCAGAAAACATATACCCCCTCAAAAAAAGGCCCTCTGGTTCCATTTCTTAACCTGCTCGTTGAACATACCGTTCTTCTTCAGGTCACCAGGACCCCACCTGGGGCTGTGATCCCATCAAAGTAAAGGACTTACTGGGTGTAAAGAGCCAGAGATTAGAATCAGGCTGCTACTGGTGTTCACATTCCGTCCTGATGCTCATGGAAGCTTTGAGGCCTCGGGGCCCCTGTCTCCTCATCTGAAACACAGAACAAATAATCTCAACTCCAGGGGACTCAAGGCTGAAGAAGATGAAGCATAGAGAACAGTTAGTACAGATAGCCGCTCAGCAAACATCTTGCCACCAGGCAAGTCAGAAAGAGGAAATGAGCGAGGAGTCGCCGCCTGACTTCAGAGTTAGGTCGTTTGTTTCCTTTCACATGACATCACCTCTTCAGGGGGTGCTGTTGACTTCAACCCAAAGCAACTCACCGTACACGGATCGAAACCTGTCCTGGCCCTGCACCGTGCTCACAGTCTCCTCAGATAGCAAGGAAAATGAAGTCCTTTATCCTGAGGTGCAGTGTTAAGGACAGTGTACACCCCCCCAGTGGTGACATGCCCGGCTGCTGGTCAAGTGCTGGTGCTGGTGGTGGTTGTTATGTGCTATCAAGTCAACAATGACTCATAGCGACTCTGTGAACCACACACCTGAACCTTGCCAGGCCCTGCCCTGTCCTCACAATCTCCAGCATGCCCCAGCCCATTGTCACGGTCACTGTGCAGTCCATCTTGTTGAAGATCTTCTTCTCTTTCTCTGACCCTCCACCTTCCCCAACATGATGTCTTTTTCCAAGGACTGGCCCCTTGTATTGCAGGAGCTTTGGTGACCTAGTGAGTAAAGGGTTGCACTGCCAAACCAAAGGCCTTCCCTCAACAACTCCTTAGGAGAAAGATGAGAAGTCTCGTTCTGTGCCATTCACAGCCTCTGAAAACCCACTGGAGGGTCAGCTATGAGTTGATTCTGACTTGACAGTACATAAGAACAACAACAACATTCTCTTACTGAAGAGGTGGAGGTTCAGCGGGAGAAAGACCAGAAACTCTGCTCCTGTAAAGATTAAAATCTGCAGCTGTTTAGTCAGTTCCAACCACTCCGGATGTAAGATCTCAGCCCCTTCAGGTCTGCAAGGCTCTGAGTCTTCACAGAAGCAATGACCACGTCTTTTTCCCACTGAGCTGCTGGGAGGTTCGAACCATGGACCTTTCAGACAGCAGCCAGGCACTTAGCCATTGCACCAGCAGAACTCCCTGTAAAGCTCACAATTTAGGAAAACCAGCTGGGCAGTTCTGTCCTGTAAGGTCACATGGGGCGAAGTAAACCGGGCAGCCAAAAGCAGACTGAGTTTGTGAGAGTCTCTCGGTTACACTGGGAGAGGATAGTAAGTGGATACATGCGTGGACAGATGTTGTCTTGTTTTCTGCTCTTGTTTTTAATAGCAAGTGGTCTGTGAGGGCCTCAAGCCAGTGAGCAGGTTCTCAGACTGATCTTTCAACTTTGAGGTTTCGGGGATAAGAGACTAAGTCACCTTTCCTCTGTCCCCCACCCCCAGTGTCCTTCTTGTCGCCACGGGCTTGTCGGTCCCCAACCAGGTGGACTTCCCCGGCTCCGAGTATGTGGAGGGCTATGCATCAGTGTCCATCAACCCCAAGGACTTCGAGGGTCAGAACGTGCTGATCCTGGGCCGTGGGAACTCCGCCTTCGAGACGGCAGAGAACATCCTGGGCGTCACCAACTTCATCCACATGCTGAGCCGCTCCCGGGTCCGACTGTCCTGGGCCACCCACTATGTCGGAGACCTCAGGTATGCCATGTGCCACTTTCTGTTCTGTGCTTGTCGTTGCTGTTGTCACTGGCTGGCAGGTCCCTGACTCCTGCCCGATAAAACAAATTACTGCCCCGTCCTGCGCCATCCCCGTGATCCGCTGCAGATCACGCAGTAGTGGTGATCCCTTGAGTTTTCACAGGCTGGTTTTCAGAACAGGCAGGCCTTTCCTCCTAGTCTTCCCCAGCCTAGAAGCTCCACTGAAACCTGTCCTGCATTAGCAACTTGTAGGCCTCCTCTGACAGATGGGAGGTGAATGAATGCGTGAGGTGCATTGGCTGGGACTCTAAGCCTGGATTTGCCACATGAAAGCCAGGAATTTCACCACCGGGTCACCACTGACCAACCACTCAGTCTGTATTCTGAGGCTAGAATGTCAAAGAACCTCCTTCCAAAGCCTTTCGTGATTCCAACAGAATTATCTTCTCCTTCCCAGGCTGCCCTGCCCCATCCATAGTGTGTGTGTGTGTGTGTGTGTGTGTGTGTGTGTGTGTGTGTGTTAGTTTGCATATAAAATTCATATACATTTTGCTTCATTCATGTACTTTAGTTTCACACATCCCTCCATTCATATTGTGTTTCATACAATCATTCATCTACATCTTGTTTTATAAAATTAGTCACCATTGATCAATGCCTACTATTACCCCATCTTTTCAGGTCGCTGGTGAATCTTTCCCATTTCTTCACTCCCTGGTCTACTCACCAAACTCCACTTTCCTAGTGATAACCCCCACCTTTCCCATTTTCCACCACCTTGCCCTTCTCCCCTTCCCCTTTTGGACTTTTAATACACATCTTACTAGTTATCCTTCTATTTTTACAGTAGTGGTCATATGCAGGATTTATCTTTATGAGACTGGTTTACTATGCAGCATTATTCACAATAGCAAGAAAATGGAAACAGCCCAAATGCCCATCAGCAAACAAATGGATTGGAAAAATTGTGGTGCATTCACAAGATGGAATACTATGCAGCACAAGGAGCAAGGATATCATAAAAGAGTATATAATGTATCTTTTTTAAAATTAATTTTAGTGAAAGTTTGCCAAGACTTAGTGTTTCCAATCATTCATTGTTGCACTTTTCTCCCTGACATAATGTATCTTTCAGTCTGTGTCTTTCTCCCTCTGAGAGCATGAACTCCCTGAAGACAAAACCTTTCTTGTTATCTTTGAATACCCACTGCTCAGCACCTTGCTAAGTACAAGGGGAGGGGCTCTGTAAACATTGGAAAAGATAAGTTAGCCTGTAAATAGGAAGGAAGATATACTCAATTTAAAAGTAAAACTTCTCTTGCCTTATAAGCTTTTGAAGTTCTATCTGACCAAATCAATTGGTCATCAGTTATATAAGAGCCATTCTCTTCTGCTGTAATTTGTCAGGCGTAATTGCTGTTGCATTGCTGGGTTCTGCAACATCCTCATAATTGTTACTCTGTTTGAGCCCATTGTTAAAGTCACTGTGTCAGTCTATACAGCATAATAAAAGTGCTGAAAATGCAGGGGGAAATTAGTAACAATTGCTGTTGTTGTTGTGTGCCATCGAGCTGTAACTGATTCATGGATGATCCTCTAGCAGGTTTTCAGAGGCAGTTAATTACACAAGAAGAAATTACCCATCCTTCTCCCTCAGAGCCCCTGGAGGATTTAAACTCCATACCTTCAGGATTGCAGTGCAGCTTCTTCCCACAAAGCCACCAGAGCTCCAGCAATAACAGAGAATACAAGTACTGTAAAAGGGAAACACCACCTATTGTAAAGGTGCAGAGAAGGATGACCCGCTCAGGGCCATAATCACAGGCGACGTTAATTGGCATAGCATAATCCACAAAGGCTGTGTTCTGCACTATTCTTGGGTGAATAGTGGCTTGTGAGTGGCCAGCAAAGGAGCAAGTATTGATGCCTTGCTGTCCACAACAAAGAAAAGAGAATAAAAGCAAAGATTCATAGAAACAATTAGTCTAAAGGGCTAATGAACCGCAAATATGTCAAATTCCACAGGAGACCATCAGAACTAGATGGTGTCCAGCTACCGTGGCTGGCCATTCTGAGAGGGATCACAGAGGAGGGTCTCTGATAGAGAATGGGCAGAAAATGTAGAACAGAACTCAAAAACATAAAAATACAAAACTAACAAACAACAACAGAAAGCCCAGCTGGTTTACTGGTCTGATAGAGACTCATGGATTCCCTGAAACTGTAGCATTTGATCACAACTTTGAACCTGGAGCAGAAAAGTCACCCCCCCCCCCGACTCAGATTTGGTGTCAAAGAATAGAAGGACCTATAATGAGATCTAGTCATGTTCTTCTGTTGTTCATAGGGTTTTCAGAGGCACGTTATTTCAGAAGCAGATGGCCAAACCTTCTTGCTCATCTGTACTCTTCTGGGAGCTCTACTAAAACCTTTCCACCATGGGTGACCCTCTGGCATTTATAACATTGGTGCCACAGTTTTCAGCATCCCACAAGTACAGCAAACTGACAGACAAGTGCTGTGCTAATTAGAGCAATAGCTGTGGTGCTGGAGAAGAAGACTGGATATCCCATGGACTACCAAAAGAACAAAAAAGGTCTTAAAGAAGGTGCAGCCAGAGTGCTCCTTGGAGGCAAAGATGATGAAGCTTTGCCTCACATACTTTGGGTGTGTTGCTTGGAGAGAGACATCATACTTGGGAAGGTGGAGGGATGGCAAAGGAGAGAAAGACCCTTAACCAAGTGGATTGACACAGTACCTGCAGCAATGAGCTCTTGTGTGAGAGAAATTGTGAGGATGGTGCAGGATAGGAAAAGGTTCAGGTTGGTTGTTCATAGGGTCGCTATGAGCCATGCTCAACTCTCAGCACCTAACAATAACAACAAAGAAGATGAATTTGCACCAGGGAGGCAATCCTTAGAATAATCAAATACATGAGTTTAAAGGGGCAGCATTAGCCCAGGAATAAAGCTCAAAAGTCAGGAAGGATGGGATAGAAGGATTCATGGAAAAAAGAATCACAGGGAGGAGGTGGGAAGAGTGATGTTAGATTGTGTGCATTGTCATTAATGTTAGAAAAATGGAATGTATTTGGATGGTTGAATGTAAAACCAAATAGCTTTGTAAACTTTTACTCAAATCACAATTTTAAAACAAAAAAGGAAGCAATGCAAAGGCATGCAAAGAGAGGTGACATTCAGAAAAGTCTGAAGATCAGTAGGAGACACAGGGTGGAGAGGGTATGAGGTCTAGGCTATAATAAGGAGTTGTAAGAATTTGAGAAAAAAAACACAAAACAAAACCACAACTAAACACAATTACTTTAGTGTAACAACTAGGGAGACATGAGGGCAGGACTAGGGAGAAATGAAGCTCAGTAAGGATGTATCATGAAGGGCTCTGGGCTCTGGCAGGATTTTGGCTGTGATTTCTTGGTACCCAGGTGCCCTAGAGGTTAAGTACTTGGCTACTAACCCAAAGGTCGGCTGTTTAAATCTACCCATGGGGAGAAAGACCTGTGATCTGCTCTTCCAAAGGTGGTTGTGTGGTGGTGGTGGTGTACTGTCGAGGCAGAACAGCCTCATAGATGACCCTCCAGCAAGTTTTCAGCAGCAGTAAATGTCACGAGAAGAGTCTGCCCATCTTTCTCCCATGGAGCACCTCGTGGATTCAAACTGCATACCTTCAGGTTGGCAGCACAACTTCTAATGCTAGGCCACCAAAGCTTATAAAAATTATTGTAAAAGAGCAAAGACAACATGGGGACAGCCTTGTCTAGCCTTTACCAACTTTATAAAGAGGTACTGTCCCAATAAACAGCATCAATAACACAAAACCAGTACCGATATGTTCCCCCCACACCATGCTTTCATACCTCTTTCTACTCCACACCAGTCTTACTGCGTTGCAGAGTCCACAATCCCATGTAATAGCTCACAGTGCACACAGAATCATGTATAACCCAGGTTAGTAGCAGAATGCAGTCAGAATGGCTCCCAGAATGTGCTTGCAGGCACCTCAGCCTCATGGCCTTAAGCCAGTAGACCAGTGTTACAAAGTTCTCATTCCTGCCAGTATTGGCTGCTTCCCTGCCCTAGTCTTAGCCAGTGTTACAAAGTCTTCAGTCCTCCACATTCTGGCCCTCCCACCCCCAGTTGTCCAACAAACTTGGGCAAAGGCTCTTAGCTCTGATTCCAGTGACTCATCAGTCCCAAGGCCCCAGCTTATGTCAGGTCTCTAGTTCGACCATGGCTACCCTTTTCCTGGTGGTGAGGTTTCTTCACTGGTGGTGGCAGGGAGGTCTTAAAGGGTGTTCTACATTCTCTTGCTTCCTTTTTTGCCAGCGCATGGAAGGTCCAGCACTGCAGCTAGAGCTGTTCAGTGTGTTAACAAGACTAGCCAATGGCCTTGTATATCAGTGAGACTGACCAGTCCCCTTGGGGAATGATGAGATAGCCAGTCCCCTTTTAGATAGGCTAACATACCCTGTTTGCATAGTCCCATCCATCCCAATGGTCAGATCCAATTCAGATGGCTAGGAGAGCCCTAATGAAAGATAAACTCCATAATTATGTCCTAGAAAACCTAGTGGGGTAGTTCTGCCCCCTCACGTGGGGTCTTTGGTCAGAATTGACTGGACAGCCCCAAGCAACAATAGTGCATTCACAGAGAGGAGATGGCGGCTCACAGCCCACATGGTGCAGTGTCCAGGGGCCATGTGTCCCTCCCTTGACCAGCGCTCCTTCTCTTTGGGCCCCAGAGCCATCAACAACGGCATCCTGGACACCTACCAGCTCAAGTCCCTCGACGGGCTGCTGGAGTCCAACCTGGAGGACCTGGCCATCGTGAAGGACCCTGAGGGAAAGTTCCACATCACCCTCAAGTTCCTCGTGGAGGAAGCCAACCAGAGTGCCGAGGCCGTGGCCCTCCCCCAGGACGATAACGACAACTTTGCCCTGCGTGTGGCCTATGACCGCGTCATCAGCTGCCTGGGCTGGAACTTCAACTTCTCCATCTTTAACAGGTGAGTCCCAAGAGGAAGAGGTAGGGGCCCTGGAAATCCTCTGACCTCACCTGGGGAACAGAGCCACCAATCGGGGCCAGGCAGTCCTGTGACAAGAATGATGAGGTTGCCCTATTCCAGCTTCTCGCCCAGGACCCAAGCTCTCTGTCCACTTAAGCCCTGGTAGCTTGAGACCTCCAGTCATGGACCCACAACAGTGGGTCTAACTGTGAGATGCAGGAAAGCCAGACCAGGCAGGATAAGGAGGTGGCGCTGCAGAAAGGCAGTGTGGCCCGGTGGCTGAGCTCATGGCCTTCACCATCAGCCTGGGAGGTCTGCTAGCCAGCTGTGCGAGCTCTGGCAAGCAGCTCCACCCACCGCCCCAGTTGTGTTGTGATTGGAGCGATCACACCATCCCTGCCTCGTGGTGACCCGTGCACAGTGACCGAAGACTGGCTGCTCCTGGGTCAGCCCCATGATGTGGGCCAGACTGTTGTGATGATGTGGAAATTTCACCGCTTTCAAGTGGAGAGCCAAGCCTTTCTCCCTAGTCTGTCTTAGTCTGGAAATTCTGCTGAAACTCACTCATCATCATCCCCTCAAGAAAACCATGGCCATCAGTTCCAACTCCACAAGCCTCCTGTGGAATCTGAGGCCATAAATCTTCCCAGAGGGAAAGTGCCCATCTTTCTCTCCCACAGAAAGACTGTGGGATTTGAACTCCTGACTCTTCAGTTAGCAGCCCCATATGCTCTTTATTCATGTTGTTGTTGTTGTATACCATCGAGGCGGAACCGACCCATCGCTGACCCCCGCCCCCCCCCAGTGGGTTTTCAGGGGCTGTTGATCACACAGGAAGACTGCCAGTCTTTCTTCCATGGAGCAGCTGGTGGTCTTGAACTGCATGCGTTTGGGATGGCAGCACAGCTTCTAGCCGCCAGGTCACCAGAACTCTCCTTACTCATGACCGTGCACAAACCTCCTCTAACAAGTGAGGAACAGCGTATTGTGTACTGGCTGAGAAGTGAGTGTGGATAGAAGGTGAGAGAGGTCTCCCATAGAACCCTAGTTGACTCATCCTTGAAATGGGTATAATGGTTCTTGCTCATGGCATTATTGCGAGGATTGAAGAGTGTTGTCAAGTGAGCTCCAAATTGGAGCGATTCTTTGCACAACAGAAATAACCTCCTCCCAGCCCTGTGCCGTCCTCACAGTCAGTGCTCTGTGCCAGCCCCTTGTGGTCCAATGCATCCGTCAGTCACGTCGAGGGCCTTCCTCCTTTGCACTGACCTCTGCCGGATAGAGCATGAGGGAGGGAAATGCTTGGCATCATTGTGGAGGAAAAGCTAGCAGTGATAAGAAGCTGTGTTGCAATCCCGAAGCCATGTGGTCTCATCTACCAGCAGCTCTGTGGAAGAAGGATGGGAAGTCTCCTCCTGTGCAATTAACTGCCTCTGAAAACCCTCTGGAGGGTCAGCTGTGGATCAGTTCCAACCCTACGGTACACAACAACAACAATACCACTAGAGAGGCAAAGCTTTTAAAGTTAGCAAGTCTTTACAGACGGTGCCACCAGGTCCCACCTCCCTCAGGTCCTGGAAAGGACCTGGTCTCAGCCCAGAGTTTGTACCTTGCCTTCCTGCTCTTCTTGACCCAGCAAGTGCTTAATGTAAGACTCAATTACCAAGTCTGTTAAATAGAAAAAATGATACCTACTCCCTAGGGTTGAAGCGAGGTTTAAATACATTAAGGAAAATCAGTCACTTAGCCCCATGCCAGGCCTGTAATAAGTTCCTCCTGCACAGGAGCTGTTTTTATTTAACATCTCTTTCCATTCACAGCTCCCTCAGACTTTCCTCGGGGAGTGCTTTAAGCAAGAAATATCCACTGATCAGACCTAGCTATGAGTCCAAGGGAACCCGGGGCCTCTTCGTCCTGGGCACTGCCAGTCACTCCGTGGACTACCGCAGATCCGCAGGGGGTTTCATCCATGGATTCCGGTACACAGGTGAGCCCGGCCAGGAGGGTCAGCTGCTCCCAGACAGGGCCACTCTTGGCATCCCAGAGCTTTACCAATACACTGTTGGGTTTCGGCAGCATCACAAGGTTTTCTTTAGATGAATGGATGGATGGATGGATGGATGGATGGATGGATGGATGGATGGATAGATGAGAGAGATTGTTGTTGTTGTTGTTGATTGCCATCGAGTCTAGTACAACTCATAGCCACCCTATGAACAAAAGGTCTGAAGCCTTTCTATAACTATCGACATTTATCAAAGTTCATAGAGTTTCCAGAGGCATGTTGTTTAGGAAGTGGATGCCACTCCTGCTTCCAAAGATAGATAGATAGATAGATAGATAGATAGATAGATAGATAGATAGATAGATAGATAGATAGATAGATAGACAGACAGACAGACAGACAGACACACCAGTGGCCTACTGAGTGGTGCTGCCAACCCAAAGATGGACGGTTCAAATCCATCAGCTGCTCCTTGGAAGAAAGATGAGCAGTCTCTTCCCATGCAATTTTCGGCCTCTGAAAACCTGCTGTAAATTGGTTCTGACTTGACCTCAAATAATAACTCGTGTGTGTGTGTGTGGTGTGTGTGTGTGTGTGTGTGTGTGTGTACACACAACTCATTGCTTTCAAGTAAGAGCCAACTCACGGCTGCCCCTCCATTGGATTTCGATGCTGTAAAATGTATCGGAGGAGGTTGTCCTACTCTCTCCCTCAGAGCTACCAGTGGATTCAGACTGCCGGAGAGGCTCAGCATTTAGTTAGTAGCAGAATTACCATGGGCTGTGCCACCAGTGTCGCAGCAGACGAAGCTTCAAAATGTGTACATCCTTTCTTGGGTTGTTATTGAGTATACATATACATACATATACATGCACATATACATACGTATACGTATACATACACATGTACATATATCAGAACTTTCGATTATTTCCACGAGTACAATTTAGTGACATTGATTTCATTCTTTGAGTTGTACAAGTATCCATGTTTCCTTTCCCGAATTGTCCCTCTCATCAGGAGACTTACTACACTGAGAAAGTCTGTAGTCAGGGACCTCTCCACATTGTTGAGGAGCAATGATGTCAGTTTGAGGACTGAGGTGTTCCTGATTCAGGTCATGGTCTTTTCAATCACTTGCTATGCATGTGAGAGCTAAACAATGAATAAGGATGATAGAAGAATTGATGCCTTTGAATTGTGATGTTGAAGGAGAGTACTGAGTATCCCATGGACTGCCAAAACAATAAACAGATAGGTCTTGGAAAAGGTACAGCCAGAGTGCTTCTTGGCTGTAAAGATAATGAGGCTTCGACTCACGTACTTTGGTCATGTTGCTAGGAAAGGTTATTCCTTAGAGAGGGACATCATGCTTGGGAAGGTGGAGAAATGCCAAAGAAGAGGAAGACCCATAACCAGGTGGATTGACACAGTGACTGCGGCAGTGGGCTCGAGTGTGTCGGAGATGCTGAGAATGGCGCAGGGTAGGACAAGGGTCAGATCTGTTGTTTACAGGGTCGCTGTGAGTCACACTTAACTCGCTGGCACCTGACAACAACAAAAACATTATGTAAACTCACTACACCCTAAGATTCCTATAAATCTTCCAAGTTTCTGATTGACCTCCTATAATCCACAGCCATTGCATCTATTCTGACTCTAAGCAACTCTGTAAGACAGAATAGAACTGCCCCTCTGTGAGTTGCCTTTTTTTTTTTAATTTGAGTGAAGGTTCACAATTCACAATGATTTTTCATACAATCGTTCATAGACTTTGTTTTATGCCATTAATTACCATTGATTGATGTGGTTCATTTATTGCAGTGTCTAATCAACTTCCATAGGCTTTCTGAGGCTGTAAATATTTGTGCATACAGACTGCCTCATCTTTCAACGTGGAAAAGGTGGTTCACACTGAAACAGTGGATTCAAATGGCCCACCTGTTAGTGGCCTGTCTTGGTTCTCTAGTGCTGTTTCAACGGAGAGGCCACACGTTAAATGGGAATGTAGTCTCTTACAGTCAGGGAGGCTGGAAGTTCAAATCCACAGTGCCACTCTCGGGAAGACCCACTCTCTGTTACCAGTGAAAGACCTTCTGCATCTGCAGGCCCAGCATTCCTGGGAATTGTCCATGTCTTGGCTTCGGCCTGTATCAAGGAGGTTCCTTCACAGGAGCTTGGGTCCCAGAATGTGCACTCCACGGCTACTGATTTTCCCTTGCTGGTGCTGACGTCCCCCTCCTGCTTTGCTTTATACAGGCCTCAGGCCTCAGGAAATTCCCTTTACATCCAATTAGAGCTGTAATGGGATTAAGGGGTGTTGCATCCACCATTAATCCTCTTACAGCTGTTTGACTTATCAGATCTAAGAAGATCATTACAGGGCCATCACAGGACACTCCACGGCTTCATTCCACAGGGAGATTCACTGCTAAGCCACAGGCCATGCCTGTCAGGGTTTGAATTCATCAGCCTCTCGTTGGGAGAAAGATGGGCAGTCTCCTCCCCTGCTGTATACTGCCTCCTCGGCCCACTGGAGGGTCAGCTAGGAGTCAGTTCAGACTCGACAGCAATGAGAGACAAAGATGTACCATCGCATGCATGTTATTTGAGAGAACACAAAAATCAATCCATGACATTGACGCTTTGGTCCCCAAAAACTCATGTCCTCATTCCACGCAAAACACTTTCAGTCCATCATTGTTGTTGTTGTTGTTGATCGCCGTCCAGTTGAGCACAATTCATAGTTACCCTATGAACAAAAGGCCTGAAGCCTTCCTATAACTATAGACATTTATCAAAGTTCATGAGTTTCCAGAGGCATGTTGTTTAGGAAGTGGATGCTACTCCTGCTTCCAAATCGGTCTTAAACTGGGAGCTCCACCAAACACTGTCCACCATGGGCAACCATTAAGGCACTTGACACCCCAATGGTACAAGGTTCAGCATACCAGCAACCCCACATTACCTCAGTACAGCGTATTGACAGAAGAGTGTTGTACCACTTAGAAGAATGTTCGTCCAAAATATAATAACAATGGACTTTTAAATACAAAGGCATCACTAAAGGCTTAAGTCAACTCCAATAGATTCTATCCTGGGGCAAAATTCCTCTGCATTTATGAATCTGGAACACAGGCTCTCTGCTGCCACATACAATGAATGGTGACACAGGCACAAAGTCAGCATTTCCACTACAGACGGGAGAAATTGGAGGACAGTAAAGGATTGCAGGTGCCAAGCAAGTGGAACACCCAGCAGAAAAATTTACCTTCAATACTTGAAAAGAAGCCGGTAGTCTCACCTATGATGGGCACGGTGTCAGCAGGGATGAGTGCTTAAAAATAGACATCAACCTGGGAAAGGCAGGGGGTAACAGCAGAGAGGAAGACCTTCACTGAGAAGGGTTGACCTAGTGACTGTGGCATTGGTTGTGAGGATGGTGCAGTATAGGGCAAGGCTCCCGTATGCTGTTCTCAGCGCCACCGGGAGCCATAGTTGACTCACTGGCATCTGACAACAGCAGTGGGCTCGGAGGCAATGGAAGCAGTGGCTCTGTCTTCCACACTCGTGTGTTGGCCATCTTCTCTGAGCTCAGGGTGGATCCCCTTGGCTCTAGGCTTCAGCTCCACTTTGTAAGCCCACGTGGACAGTAACTCGCTCCCTCAACTCTGGGTGGCCCACTTCTCTCAGACCAGCTGGGTGATGACTGGCCCCTCTGTCCGGCAGGCCCCACTCCTCTTGCCTTCCTCACACACGGCAACCCTACCTCCTCGGCTTTGGCAACAGCCTCATCCTGCTGGCAGCCCCACCCTCCAGAACTAAGATGGCAAAGATCTGACTCTTTGAAACCTAGGAAGCTATGACCCCCACCTTTAGAAACCGCAGGAGCCATGGTCACACACTTTGTGACCCCAGAGGTTACAGCCTTACCCTTTGAGACTGGAGCAGCTCAGCTTCCCCTGCTTCTTGGTCTTTAGAAGAGACCAGCCCAGCCCCTCCCTGTCTTGCCCCAGTAAATGTTACAAAACTCTCTGGCAACACCAGTAAATGACCAGAGGCATTCCACTCTGCCCATGAACTTGGGCCCAAAGACACTCAGCTTGCAGCTGTATGGGACACGAAGCCCAGCTCCCCTGTAAAGGTTCATCCCATCCCTCCAGAAAGCCTTGTGCTCAAAGACAAGAAGCTTCCTTGCCCTTCGTGTCAGTATCTGTCTCCACACAGGCGTCTTGATGCCCCTGCTGCTGTTTCTCTCTGCCAGTACTTCTCGTTGTGCTGTTTAAATTCTCCTCCTTAGCTTCTGGGCCTTCGCAACACCTGCCTTTGATGTCTCTAATTATGACAGCGGTCTTTTGACAGTCAAGGCTTTTACTGTTGTTATGCGCCATCGAGCTAGAACCTACTCTTAGCTGACCCTCCAGTAGACTTTTCAGAGGCTGTAAATCACACAGGAAGAGATTGCCCATCTTTCTCCCTCAGAGCTTCTGGTGGATTCAGGCCCTTGGATTGGCACCATAACTCCTTACTTCTAAGACAGTAGAGCTCCCTCTTTTACTATTGTTGTTGTTGTTGTTTTGTAGCATCGAGTTGGAACTGACTGATAGCAGAACCTCCGGTGGAGTTAATCTCACAGGAGGGGATTGCCCATCCTTCTAGGTACCTTAAAACTTTTTCAGACATCCACATTTTAGGTATCTGTTAAAGCAGCACCCCATTCTCACGGTACCAAATTTCATCTTAGTTATCCATTCTAACAGATACCACAAGGGGGAGGCTTTAATGAACAGAGATGTATTTTTTTTCTTATTGAAATTTTAATGAAAGTTTATAGAGACTTTGGATTTCCATTCATTCATTGTTGCACATTTTTCTCCTGCCACCCCTCCCCCGAGTTGGTTTTTCTCTTTGAAAAGTTAAAAAAAAATTCTTTCATTATTATACAATCCCCCCCCCAAGTCTACTCCCCTATGCAGCTTTCA